TGTCTTCCTCAATCTCAGGACCTCTACCAGAGGCCTGGGAGTTTGAGGGTTTTATGCAGGATCTTAGCTGTTCCTAGCACTGCACTCAGAGAGCTCTGATGTTCCTGGGATCTGTTGGAGCCACTCCAGCTTAAGAGTCACACAAGTGCTCCTACCACCACTGGGACCACTTTAGCCTTTACTTTCCACATCCTCTCTAGTTCCTACTTGCCCTGTTCTCCAAATAGTATGTGCCATTGTCCAAACAGCGCACCCTGTTCTTGCAGTGCTTCAGAAAGCCTTCTGAAAGTTTCTGAAGTCTTCCAAACCATTGCAAGAACAGAGCGCCTGCCATTCTCTAAATACCGCGCCCTGTTCTCATGATGCTGCATAAAGCCTTCGGAAAGCTTTTGAGGTCTTCCAAAGTATCACAAGAACGGAGTGCCTGCCATTCTCTAAATAGACAGAGAGAGACCCAGTTTGGTTTAGTGGTTAAGGCACCAGGCTAGAAAGCAGGAGGCTCTGACTTCTAGCTCTGCCTTAGTGATAAAAGTCGGTTGGGTGACTTTGGGCCAGTCACTCACTCTCAGCCCAATTTACCTCACAGGGTGGTTGTGGGGAATATAGGAGGAGGAAGGAGTTAGGTATGTTTGCCACCCTGAGTTATTTGTAAAAATGATAAAGGCGGGACAAAAAATCTAAAACCAAAATTAGCACACCCCATTCTCAGGATGCTTGGAAAAGCCTCTGGGAAGCTTCTGAGGTCTTTCAAAGCATCACAAGAACAGCATGTGCTATTCAGAGAGAGTGTGAGCAGCCTCTGGAAGACAGCCTTGCGTGGCCAGCAGCTGCCTCACATAGGGCCAGGCCTGGTGCGCCTCATCAGCAGTGGGAGGAAGATGGCAAAAGTCAGCTGGGCACAGCAGGGCCTGTGGAGTGCAGGATGGCGGGGACAACTGAGGCTTTGCACTGTGGTGGTGAAGTGGCTGGCCATGGTGTGGGGCTTGAGGCGGCATTTTTCAGTGACAGCAGCAGCAGCAGCAGCAGCGCTAGGACTGAAGTAGAGCCCTGGCAGCTGGCTGAGACTGCTGAAAGCCCCGGGGCCTCTACTTCAGCCTCAGCTCCACTGCTGCCACCAAGGAGTGCCGCTGTGCAGCGTGGCCAAAAGGGCAGAAATGGGGTGGGATAGGCAAGTGATTGGAGTTGAAGTGCCCCTGTGGTCCTAAGTGCAGGTGGGCTGCCAAGTGCCCAAATTTTTATCACGTGACTGTGGGGGTGCTGCAACAGTTGTAACTTCGGGGACTGGTCCTAAGTCCCATTTTTCAGCGCTGTTATAATTTTGAATGGTCGCTGAATGAATGGTCATAAGTCGAGGACTACCTGTAGGGTAAAAGTAAAAGGCAAACTTCTCTTTTTTTTTTTCCTGTTTTGCTTTTCTCTGTCTTTAACACTTAGTCCCAATTAGCTCTCCATACCTACAGTCACACAGTCTGGCTCATATTACCTTTATGTTCTTATTTTGTAAAATCCACCAATTATCTACTTTCCTTAATAATAAACAATCAGCATTCCCACAAAAGTCCAGTCTGTTTATCTAGTTAATTTTACTATTTTCAATGGCACTTTTGTAAAAAAAAAAAAAAAATCTAAAATTACCGTCCCCTTTATCCATTTAAAACTTTCTTAAATCACAACCTTGTTAAGCTTTTTGTTTTTAAGTCAAAATGTTTAGGATGGCGACTCACCGAGTGTCTTTCCTGCCATTCAGGAGACCTCCCTTAGATTGTAAATGAATTCTATCCAGAAGTGTTTAAGAAAGTGAGGCTTTTGTGGGTGAAGTGTTCATTAAGGCTGCACAGCAGTTTTGAGTGTGATGGTAATCCTTCAGCTCCCAAGCCTCTCAACCCACGATTGACCACAAGAAACTCAGTTCCTGTGGTCTGCTCATGAGGAGTAGCTATCCAGACTGCAAGTGGGTGATCTCCCAATCTCTCCTTCTCCGGAGAGAATTTCATCAGCTAGAACTTTCCACCTATCTTCGCCACAGTGCTGTCCTCGCTTGTGGAACCACTCGCAGGAACCCATAGGTCCTCACCCGGAAGTCTAGATTGATCTCTTCCAAGTGGTTGGCTGCTATATCATTTTCCAGATTTGCTGTTATAGCTAAGAACCTTGCCTGATTCTTTTCTGTTGCTTGCCATATTTCAGTAGGTATTCCACTGGTTCCTGTAGCCTTCTGACTTGGTAATAACTGGAGTACTGATCTAACTTAATTTTCTAGTGCTAGAAGTTCTTGTAAGTAGGGAATATCTTTGAAGATATCTTGGATGTTGACATCTCTACTGTACAGTGTTTTAGCATACTCCTTCTATCTTCCTTTGATCTCCCCTTTCAATTTTTTGCGTCCCTAAATTTAAAGGAAATACTCCAGGAGGAAGAGATAGGAATAAATACATCCACAAAAAAGGAAAGGCCACACCTATCAAGTGAAGAGGAGAAGATAAAGAAGGAACTCCTGAAAAGAGGAAATAAAAAGAGGCAATAAAGCATTTCACAAAAATGGCAGGCATTTACCCAGAAATAGCAGCCGCATACAGAGCAGAATCCCCAAGTTCTCTGACTTTGACTTGGGTTGGGGAAGTACAGGTGGAGAGGCAAAAGGTAAGGCAAGTGAGCTAACGCAGTTATGGTCCGCCGAAAGTGGATCATAAACCAGACTCTTCTTTCAGGTGCAGGAGCCGGTCATGGGGGAGATCTCAGCAGAGCTCCAGGGAAGAGGAAATCAATCCAGTTCTTCTCAAGAGCTGCTTTTCAGGAGGATCCAACTCGGGCCACCTCACCAGGTAAGTGTAGGTTTCCTCTGAGAGCAGTAGAGTTCAAGGTCCATCTGTTCACGAGCTGCTTTTACAGCCAAATTCTGAGTGTGGGCATTTGAGCATAGTGTCTCCACAGAATGACCCACTAAGTTACACTCAGTTTTCAAGATTGTTTTGGAGATACAAATGAGAGACAATTCACAGGGTAACCTCAGAAGTTCGTATAAGGAAATGTAATTTATTTGTTGGAAGAATTTAATACTTCTTAATACTTTTCAGAAGAGTGCAGAAAGCCAATAAAAAAAATTAAACCTGTGAATTGAAAGAATAGAACTTCAAAAATATGCCACCATATCGACTTAAAAATGAATTGTATGAAGGACAGATTTCCCATGTGAAAACCCCTATAGTCAACACTAAGTGGCTACAACAGTAAGACTGTTCGTCAAGTGACTTGGGATTTCCAGGGTCATTTCCAACATTTTGAAATAGGCCAGGAAAGAAATTCCTAGTGGGTGTGTCCTGTTTTCTAGGGAATTTGGAATTTGCTCAGCCAGGCAGGCGAGGCCAGGGGATTCTGCTCCCCCAAACCTTCTTGCTGAATTATTCCTTGCCAGTGGGAGGCTCTGCAAGGGATGCTGTGTTGCCGTTCTACAATTTGGGCACACCTAAGCTGTGTTTTGTGCAGTTACAGCACCAGCCTGAGGAGGGAGAGGGGGCTGGAGGCTTCACAGCCACAAGGACTATGTGGACATTCAGACATAAACCTGCCCTGCAAAAAATGTCTGTTGGGCCCCTTGCAAAGTTGTGTTTCCTGTTTTGTGCAATAAGGGAGACAGCTTACAAGTCTTTTGTGGAATTGCCTGCTAAGGAAGATTTTCTTTCTCTTTCTAGGGCTCTGGTCTCTTTGAGGAGGTGGCTGTGGACTTCACAGAGGAGGAGTGGGCACTGCTGGATTCTGGCCAGAAGGCCTTGTGCAGGGAAGTCATGCAGGAGATTTCGAGGAATATGGCTGCTCTGGGTAAGGCCCCCCCTTTGCTCTGGGCTCCATTCATTGGGGAAGTTTTTTTCAGTGGGAGGTAAACAGGGAAGATGTCTGCACTCAGTTGCTTAAGGTGGTCATGACTCCTACTGGCCACCACCTGAATTACTGCACTCCCATCAGACCTTTCCTAATCTGAAAAAAACAATCAGGGTCAAATGTGTTTAGTATATGACTGATATGCAAAGCCAAATATCTAGGCTGGCGCTCAGAAAACATCCTGAAAGAAGGCGTGATTTGCCAAAGAAGCTTCCTGGTTGTGTCCTTGAAGCAAACATAGAGACTTTCATCTTAACTGGCAGGAGTGGGTTGGGAAGGCTGTGTGGGGCCCTAATCCCTATGGCATATTTAGAGGGAGGGGAAGGAAGACTGGGGGGATGAATGGAACTCCTTCCAGGCACTTGGAAGCACCCTTCCCACCAGCAACCCTGCCCCCAACCATCAAAAATGAAAGATGCAGATTCTGAAAAAGTGCCAGTGACAAGCAGTTATTTTTTTCTTTTGTGGAAAAGATGGAGAGGAAGAACTGGAAAATAGGACTTAATGAATGATAATAGGATGGTGGGGGGGAGCAGCAATTCAGTGATGGCTTTTGAGGAGAGGACACCGCTGCCTTCTTCAAGGAGAAGGATAGCAGCCCCTTGGCCAAGGAAGTATTTACTGTTGCCCTACCCTTGCTCCCTGCCAACTCTGTAGAGGCTTTCACCAGCAAGGAAGGGCAGAAAGTGCAGACTACACATGGCAGAGCCACTGCTGCAAAGAGTCCCATCCACTTCCTCAGGATGCACAAGACCAAATTTATCCCAGATCACCTGGAAAGGCAAAATCTCAGTCATTACCTCCTGAGTTCCTCAGTTCTCTTCTAACCACCTCTGAGCAGATCTGAGTGATTTTCTTCTCAGGTTCCCTAGCAAATTTGTCACAAAGTCCCACTGACAGACCTTCCTGGTGTGGATCATTTTGAAAAGGATGACAATCTGTGGGTGCAATAAGAGAAGAGAAATAGAGGTTTTGGTGTTCAAAACAGTGAAGTCCCAAATATGTGCCCTTATCTATCTTATGCCAACGGCACTCTAGGCATCTCTTGATTCCCTTCAGCTGCCAGGGTCCCACCGGATCATGAACCGGCAGAGGTTGTTCAGGGGCAATTTTGTCCAAGGGCAGCCCCTCCTCTAGCAGACAAATAAGACCTTTGCAGAAATGCTCACCATTGCTTTGGGAGAGGCGCTCCATGGAAGTGCCTGGGCAGATTGGCCGATCAACAGCAAACGCTTACTGTGGTTCCTGGCTGAAAAATTCCTTGGATATCATCAGAGTCTTCTAGATAACAATTTGCACCCAACATCTCCTAGCTAGATGCATGGCTGGTGCCAAACCTGAAACTTGGATGGGCATGCTTTTGAGAGAGGGAGACCCCCCTCCTTCACCATTTGAAATTCTAATGAGATTTCCTATTTTCTTTTTTCCAAGCATGCGATTGGCCAGAGAATGACAATGACAGGCAGGCGATATTAATGCCACTGCACACAGCGAAGCATGAAGTCAAGGAAGTGATGTTTTGCCATCAAGGAAATCCAAAAAGGCAAGAGAGAAGCCACCCAGAAGACAGAGGGGAGAAGTCCTCCATTTCTCTCCCTGTTGAAATCCATGGCTTCCTGACCCTGCAAGATCAGAAAGGGAAGAGAAAGGGAAAATATGGCAAAAGAAAGAAAAATGAATTTGATTTACATGAATATGGCAGAAGCCAGACTAAAGGAAAACAATATGATTCCAGACAGTATGAAAAATATGTCAATCATTCCTTCTCTCTTACTTTACCTAAAAAACTGTACAGGAAACACAAACCACATACATTTGTAAAATTTGGGAAAGATATCAGTCTGAGCAGAGAGATGAAACTATGCACGAAGTGTGGAAAGAGCTTCAGTAGCACCAGTACTCTTAATCTACATCAGAGGATCCACACAGGTGAGAAACCATATAGTTGCATGGAGTGTGGAAAAAGCTTTCATTGGAATACACAGCTTATTTATCATAAAATTATCCACACAGGGGAGAGACCATATAAATGCATGGAGTGTGGAAAAAGCTTTCGTCAAAACACGGAACTTATTTACCATAAAAGGATCCACACTGGGGAGAGACCATATAAATGCATGGAGTGTGGAAAAAGCTTTTGTCGGAACAGAGAGCTTATTTATCATAACAGGATCCACACTGGAGAGAGACCATATAAATGCATGGAGTGTGGAAAAAACTTTACGCAGAAAGGACATCTTACTTGCCATGAAAGGATCCACACTGGGGAGAGACCATATAAATGCATGGAGTGTGGAAAAAGCTTTCGTCAAAACACGGAACTCATTTACCATAAAAGGATCCACACTGGGGAGAGACCATATAAATGCATGGAGTGTGGAAAAAGCTTTCGTCAAAACACGGAACTCATTTACCATAAAAGGATCCACACTGGGGAGAGACCATATAAATGCATGGAGTGTGGAAAAAGCTTTCGTCAAAACACGGAACTCATTTACCATAAAAGGATCCACACTGGGGAGAGACCATATAAATGCGTGGAGTGTGGAAAGAGCTTTATTCAGAACTATGAACTTGCTCGCCACCAAAGGATCCACACAGGGGAGAGATTATGTAAATGCATGGAGTGTGGGAAAAGCTTTCTGGACATCAGAGACCTTACTAGTCACCAAAGGATCCACACAGGGGAGAAACCATATAAATGCACAGAGTGTGGAAAAAGCTTTCGTCGGAACAGAGGGCTTAATTATCATAAAAGGATCCACAGTGGGGAGAGACCATATAAATGCTTAGAGTGTGGAAAAAGCTTTCGTCGGAACACAGAGCTTCTTTATCATAAAAGGATCCACACTGGGGAGAGACCATATAAATGCCTAGAGTGTGGAAAGAACTTTACTCAGAAAGGACGTCTTACTTGCCATGAAAAGATCCACACTGGGGAGAGACCATATAAATGCGTGGAGTGTGGAAAGAGCTTTTTTTATAATCACAGTGTTTCTCGCCATCAAATGATCACACTGGGGAGAGACCATATAAATGCCTAGAGTGTGGAAAGAACTTTACTCAGAAAGGACGTCTTACTTGCCATGAAAAGATCCACACTGGGGAGAGACCATATAAATGCGTGGAGTGTGGAAAGAGCTTTATTCAGAACTGTGAACTTGCTCGCCATCAAAGGATCCACACAGGGGAGAGACCATGTAAATGCATGGAGTGTGGAAAGAGCTTTATGGACATCAGAGACCTTACTAGTCACCAAAGGATCCACACAGGGAAGAAACCATATAAATGCATGGAGTGTGGAAAGAGATTCATTGAGAACAAAGACCTTATTCGTCATAAAAGGATCCACACAGGGGAGAAACCGTATAAATGCACTGAGTGTGGAAAGAACTTCAGTAGAAACTGTACTCTTATCCGCCATCAAAGGACCCACACAGGTGAGAAACCATATACATGCGCTGAGTGTGGAAAGAGTTTCAGTAGAAAAAATAATCTTACATCCCATCAAAGGATCCACACAAGGGAGAAACCATATGAATGCACTGACTGTGGAAAGAGCTTTTTTTATAATCACAGTGTTTCTCGCCATCAAATGATCCACACAGATGAGAAACCATATAAATGCATGGAGTGTGGAAAGAGATTAATTGAAAATAGAGAACTTACTCATCATAAAAGGACTCACACAGGGGAGAAACCATATAAATGCAGAGAGTGTGGAAAGGCCTTCAGAAGAAATGGTAATCTGACTCGCCATCAGATGATCCACACAAGTGAGAAACCATATAAATCATAGAGTGCGGAAAGAGATTCATTGAGAACAGAGACATTACTTCTCATAAAAGGATCCACATGGGGGAGAAACCATATAAATACATAGTGTGGAAGGAGCTGTATTCAGAATGGAGCCCTTACTTGTCACAACAGGATCCACACTGGAGAGAAGCCATATAAATGAATTGGCTGTGAAAAGAGTTTTCATCATAATGGTGCCCTGATTTACCAGGAAAGGATCCATACAGAAGAGAAACCACATAAATGCATGGAGCGTAAAAAGCGCTTTCACCAAAACTCTGCCCTGATTTCTCATAAAAGGATCTACATAGTGATAAACCATATAAATGCACAGAATATGGAAAGAACTTTATTCAGAACAGAAACCTTACTGCCCATCAAAGGATCCACACAGAGGACAAACTGTATAAATGCATAGAGTGTGGAAAGAGCTTAAGTTTGAAGTGTAATCTTACTTTCCCTCAAATAATATACACGGGAAAAAAATAACATGCATGAACTGTGGAAAGAGTTTTATTAAGAACAGTGACCTTACTCATCATAAAAGGTTGTACATGGGAGAAATCATATAAATGCATGGAATGTGGAAAAGCTTTAGTTTGAACTATAACTATTTATAGTTCCCATCCAAGAACCCGCATTAGAGAAGCCATTTAAGTGTGGAAAGAGCTTATGTGTGAACAGTAGCCTTACTTCCCATAAAAGAATCCACCCAGAAGACAAACCATATAAATGAATGGAGTTTGAAAAGAGATTCAGTAGCAGCAATCCCATTACACAGCATTGAAGGAACTGCATAGGGAAGAAGCCATATAAATGCATGTATGTGGAAAGAGCTTCAGGCAGAGCAGCCACCTTAATTGCCACAAAGTGATTCACACAGGAAAGATGACATAGAAATGTGCAAGAGGATGACTGAGTCAGTTCAGTTGCAACATTCTCTCACTCATCTTACACTTTCTGCATATATGCCCAGGTATGGAATGAGGCAGTCCTCAGTAGAGCTTGTTTGCCAGGTCTGTGGTCAGAAGGAGGTTAGATATGAAGGACTGTAAAAAAAGAATTAAAGGCATTTTTCAAAATGAATCTTAAAGATACAGAAATAAGAACAGTCTGGAATGCAAGTTAGGCATTTATGAGAG